TCTTTCCTGCCTATGCAGGGGGTCGGACTCGATGATCTATTGAGGTCCCTTCCGACCCTAACATCTATGAATCTATGAAACCATCACTAGCTCAACAGCACCTGCCTGCCTCTTACTCCAGAGCCTGAGAAAAGTTACAGATATGGAAAAATACTGCGCAGGTTTAACAACCCGGACAAGAAGCTGCTAGAATTCACAGCATTAGATGAAGACTTTAGACAAGCCAACAAAATGAACAGCATTTGCTTCAGACAGAAAGTGCTGGAGCCTTTCCAGTGGTGAGAGACACTTCGTAGCAACGTAGGACATGTTTTTCCCTCTTCCAGAAATGTACTGTTAAGAGAGAGATTTGAAAAATGGGAGGATACTCCCCTTCCATTCAGGGAGCTTTTGCTTCAGGAAACAACACAGCAAATAAATTACAGAGCAAACCCCGAGTGCCACACTTGTTAGTGCTCTTAATAAGCAGAGAGGCAAATTCAAGGCAGAGGAACCCGTAATTATAATCAGGCACCTGTCCTCAATTAATTCAAGCCTGAGCCTGCAACGTAGATTAAGGGAGGTATTAGCACAATGGGATGATTGCTTCCAAAACCAAGCACTTGCTCCAGCCCATAAAAATCAGCTTGAACTGCAGCTTGGTTCTCCTTGCAGGTCTCTGGTTTCTAGTTCTGTTAGACCGGTCTCTAGCAGCCGGCAGCACTTTAATGAAAGGATGTAGCCAGAGATGCTGGAAGTAACAACCCCTGTCTGAATACCCCAGTATCTTGTGCATTTACCTTCCATCCTCTCTGCCTGGCCCAAGTCACTCTCCCAAACAAAAGGGCAGGAGCTCTTTGTGGCCGAGCAGCAGTTTTGACCGCCAAAGGAAAGCAGGTGATTCACTCACAGAAGGAACTTGCAGGAACTTCAGCAGCTGAAGGAGTTCCAAGAAAGCTGTCCACCTTCCCGCTTGGAGACAGCAGCCACGCTGGATGGAGCAGAGCACAAGCCAGGCCCTGGCTCCTCACACCCTATGCCGTGTTCAGCTCCTTTCCTGACTGCTTGGAGGCCAGGTCTTTCCCCACGCCCAAGGCTGAGCGCATGCACTTTGAATAGGAAGCTGTTAATCAGCTGTCTGAAATGCAATGCAAGGGGAGCAGGAAAAGGTACAGGCATTTAGTCCTCAACAGCACTGCATGAAGAATTGCCCAGAGAGCTCTGGGTGCAAAAAGACAGGAATGCAGAAATAGTTCTGCTGGGCTTTGAGTCAGCCTTTGCAGTGCCTCTGCTGGCCCCCCTCCCTTTTTTGATCAGCACAGAAGCTGCACAGAGCTGCTTTTTTGACTGCAAGTTTGCCTGGAAGGTTAAAGTTCATTGCGAGCCTAAACCACCCTCACCACCCCGTTTCTGGAGTCTTCAGGCAACGGTTGCCTCGGCGCTCACTGCATTGCCAAGCTAGCTTGTTCCCCTGACCAACAGGTCTCTTGGGATGGAGGAGATGCCTTGCAGGAGGGGAATGGCTAAGTCTTTCAGGGGCTTTCTCCTCCCCTGGTCCTTGTGTAGAGGGAGCAGGCAAGAAAGCACCTTGAACCAGAGGGAAGAGAGGAACCAAATCACATGTCTGCAGCTACAGCCCCAGGTTTTCTAGTCACTGGTCCGAGGACCAGGGGATGCTGCAGGACGAATATTGTCTTGCTGCCGCAGGGTTGCTGCTTTCTAATCCCCATCTCCTTTCCCTATGGAGAAGTCTGAGGGATGAAGAACACAGCCTTTACTGTGTTGCCACTGATGATCCTGCTGTGGGAAGAGGCTCCCCTGCCACAGGGGGAGGCTTCATAGTCATCTGGCCCCAGGAACACAATATGCTGGAAGGCTGAATGTCAGGAGGAGAGGCTGGGTAAGAGGGAGCCAGACACCTCCCAAGACCTGTGTTCTCCCTGCTCCTCCACAAACCACCTGTGAGACTGAGCAAGTCTGTCACCAGCTTGGTTTCCTCATCTGTAAAGTGGGGATATCACCCATCTGCCTGTCACACCTCAGAGGTGTGAGAAACAAATGAATTAAAGACGAAGACACTGTGGTTACGGAATAATTTCCGATAAACCCATCGGTCAAGACCCCATATAACAAAATCCCCATTTTGGGTGGGTTCTAGGTGAACTCTTCAGAGCTTGATCTTCACTCCTCCCTGATCTCAGGTGACAGGCTTGTCTCCTCTCCCAGACATTTGCACACTATTAACCCTGTATGTTTTAAAGGGGAAGGCTGAATTTGTTTTAAGATATTTCCAGCAGGACTTCAGGATGTGAGGGAGTGCACTTAAACATCAGTCAGCAAGCAGGATTACTGGAGAGCTGCAAAGTCAAAACACAACTTTTATTGGCCAAAGTAACAAAGACATTGGTTTCTCCCTGTGATTATTAACTCCCCCCCCACCCCCCGCCCCAAAACCATACAAACAAAAAAGAAAAACAACCAACCCTAAGATTTAAAAAGGTAAGTATGCAAAACCTTTGCAAACAAAATAGACTCATTGAAACTGCAACCACTTCTCATTTCGCTCGCTGATAGTCAGGAGGTATTTGTTTCCTTTGGAAACTGTCCTTATCCTAGAGAATTTGCTTTCTTCTTAGCTTCTGCCAGCATACAAAACAACCACAAAACATACAATTCAAATACCTTTCCTAGGAAAGGAGGCTTTCGTCCCGTGAAGTGAGAGTTTTCAAGTTTACACACATGATATAAAGGCTTGGACTTAGAAAAATCTACTATGCAAGCTTGACTAATAAGCTGAACTCCTTCAAATACAAACCCATCACTACATGAACTAGCTACCTTGGATCTTTAAAAAAAATAAAAATAAAAAAAAAAATATAAAACTTTTGGCCTATTTGGGAACAAGTTACTCAGAACTGACAAGTTACCTGCACTTCAACCAGGCAGCTATTAGCCTAGCTCTACTAGGAAGCCTTGACAGCCAGAAAAGCAAGTACACTGAGAGTTCAGTTCAGGATATGCAGTTCACTTTAAAATTCAACACTGACAGCAACAAAACACCAGCGAAAGGAGACACTTGGAGAAACTCTGCTCTTGTCCTGGTAACACAAATCCTGTTTTAACAAAAAAAACAAAAACAGCGGAGATGCCCGGATGGTGTTTGCCAAAGTTATCTGGGAGACTGGTCTACACCAGCTTCTTATCCGAGCTTTGCAGTTAAGGGCTTTTTAATACACTGGTTAATAAGGTCAGCATAACAAACCGTTACGCCAGTCTCTTCTGCTCGACTCAAAGGGGATGGGATTTTTTTTTTTTTTTAAAAGGTTGTTAAAGTTTAGTATCTTAAAAAGAGATCTAGGTATTTACACACTGTGGCTCCTAAAATGCCACCTGTATCTGCACTAAGCTGCATGCCACACACGCACCACTGAGGATGCATGGGCACAGAAAGCAGAAGCAGGACAATACATCAGGGCAGCAGGAGTAACGCTAAGTAGGAAATGGGACTGAGGGAAGTTATCAACAGTTATGGCTAAGGTTCACAGGACAGCCACATGGAATTACGACAGAGTAACGTCACAGAAAGCCTGCTGCCTTTACTGAGACAGGGTGGTACAAAATGGTTCAAGGTCTAACACCTGTACTAAACATTTGTTAAGAAAATAGAGAGCAGTTTTCAACTTGTAGTTTTTCTAAACTAAGCAGGAGAGCTTTGCCAGCACCCCTCCCTCATTGGCAACCATCTGAGGTAATCAATGGTGCTGCCGAGACAAGCAGCTTCTATTTTTCTCCGCCTGCACTACTCGTCTCCTTGTTGAGTCCCCGGATTGACAGATCATACACCACTTCCTCAATCTTCTTCACGTCGTACTTCAGGCCGTCATAGCGTTTCCTCAACGAGTCATTCTTGAGGTTGAGGAGACGGAAGCCAGAATCCAACTCGTTGATAAACGTGGAGATGCGGAGAGGACGAGAATAATCGCCGGCTGTGACGCTATTCACTGCCAGCCGAGACTGTGGAAAGAAATCACACATGATGGCATCAGAGAATGGTAACTCTGGCAGCACATGGATCCTGGGCTCGTCTACTGCAATCTGTCCCTAAAGCCAACACACACTGTTCCTAGCCGTTACTCCGCCATGCGAAGCAGCCGTGCCACATACTCAGCCTAGGTACACTCCCGTCTCTAACCCGAGTCCCACCTTACAGACAAGGCACTGGTTTAAATTTGCATAGGATTAAGCAGAAGTAGGCACTAGATAAAATTAATCAATTCCAGTTCTTCTTTCCTCTGTCAGCAGCTAGGGGTTCAGGCAAACCTATCATTTAGAAGTGAAGAAGGATCAGCTGCCACTGCTAAGATAAAACTGTTGTACCCCTATAATCCTGCAGCAAGAGAAATGAGCTAAACTGCCATAACACTAACCCTGAAAGAACATGAAAGTTGTTGTAGCAGTTGTACTATACTTGAATCATGCAGATCTATGACAACAGTCTGCAGTGATATCAAAAGATACTAATATAACTGTTGCATCTATGTATATCCTAGAGCTGTGGTTCTCAACATTTTTAGACTCAAGGCATCCTGTGACAGTTTCAAGAAACTTTCTGTAGACTCAAGACACCCCTTGGAAAATATCAGCTCACAGTTTCCACTCATTTTTGACTACAGAAAAATACTAGAGCAATTCTTCTGTTGCAAAAAACTTAGAAAGACCACAACAGGTAAAAATGCTTTTGACACTGTGGATTCCTATTTGCAATCTGTGGACTTATCTTGTGAATCACATTTGCACACCTAACAATGCTAACGCTGCGTGGCACCCCACAGCACCCTTGGAAGGATTTCGTGACACCATGGCTAAGAATCACTGTCCTAGAGTGAACCTTAATATTGCCTAGTGACTGGAAAGGCCTGTTATTCGGTGGCTCAATGCCAAGCATCATTCATTGTAATCTTTATTCTCCCCAAGCATAGGGCCTGAAAAACAGGGCACCTGCTATTTGCTTCAGTTCAGCTACCATGCTTGGTCAATCTTATACTTACCAGCTCACTGGCGAAAGTTAAAATGCCAGAGAGATAATCTTCAATGTCCAGGTGAAAGCCCTTCTCTCGATCAGCCTCAACTAAGGCGAAAAACAAGAGTTGTGATCCAACTTAATATCATATCTGAATACAAACAGCAGCTCAGTCTGCTACAGTGAACACTGCAGTCCAGAAACCTTATGGCAATATAGAGGCTCATTCTTTCCCTGTACATGATGTTATGACTACTGCTCTTTGTTGTATCAGTGTAACACTGGATACATCCTCTATAAGAGACATGATACCTGCCATTCAATCCATGAGCATCACCCAAGTTATCTTTTACTACAGACAACTGTTTTCCATTGTTAAATTTTTAGCCTTCCCCTGTTGTGTTTACCTACCGCAGCTCCATAACACTACATTCAGTAACTCAATCATCTGTTTGCCATTAAAAACAAAAAGAGGCAAACAGGGAATAATGCAAATCTTTGATACGTTTAGATTTACATGGTTTTAAACCAAGAAAATTTAGGACCTGGGTCATATTTTAATGTTTTTTCCTTTTAAAAAAATTCTGGTTTGCATTTTCCCAAAGAGAGATTTCTACTTGTATTTAATTACTGGGTTGTACAGATATGCACCAAATACAAGCCTACCAATAACAGACAACAACAACCTCCAAAACTTCAACTAGATTTAGAGCAGCAAGGGTTAACCTACTTCCAAGTATTTCTGCAACAGCTTCTCGAGTGACTAACGTTTCAGTTTCCAAGTAGACCACAAATGCTGCCAGGAACACCAGCCGCTGTAGCACAAACCTCCAGTGTTCATGAAACCTGTTGAAACACACACAAGCAGGACAGAAATACATTTTTGTATGTTCTGTCATTGGAGATTAGATGCAATCTATTGCAGATTATGTGCGATATGCTTGTCAAAAGCAAATAAGACGACGCAGTTGGAAACACAAATTATTTCTTTGACAATCAAAAATTTCCACCCCCAGACTGGCTTATAATAGCATCCTCAGCCTGTTGAATCAGTGCCTGGTTGTGGGAGGAGCAGACGTGCAAGCAAAGCTGTCAGACTGTTTGGCCCCCCATCTTCCTATCCTCCAGTGGTCAAAACTCCTGCAAGTTGGGAATGGATTGAAAGTGACAGGATCTGCGCTCTCTGGAATGCTCTCGTCAGAGGAGATGCCCTCCTTGCAGGGAAAGCAAACACAACCCCAAAATGACAGGCCCAGTTTGGAGATCTGAGTCAGGTGGACAACTCCTGACAGATTCAGGGCTTGGCTTTCAGAAATGCCAGAACCCCAACAGCTGTAAATGAAGTTAATGGAATTGACAGTCCTCAATTCTAGCAGTAAGACCCGTGATTACAGCTGCTCCAAAATAATATGGTTTCCCCTTAAAACAAGAAATGTATCCCGTATGCACAGGGGGAAGCAGTTTTCAAAGGGATTTTAGTGAAGGGAGGGAAGGGGAAGATATGAGAACATGGCGTGCTTTTGGGGGGGGGGGTGTTTTTTGGGGGGGTTGTTTTTGTTTTTTTTGTTTTGTTTTTTTACAGAATATTATCAGGGTTTTTCTTCCAAAAAGGAATATTTGGGCCACCAGCTACTTTCATCTAAACATGTTTGAAGACTAATTATTTAAACAGCTTTACCTGAGAAGTGAGAGAAAAAAAACAAACAAAACATTGGGCCCCAAAACCTTGAGAATGTTCTTTTTTTCAGTTAAAATGTATAATACCCATGTGTGGTATCAAATAATTCTGTTTACAGAAGATCTGACCAACCTGTAGTACTGATCAGCAGGGAACTTGGTCTTCAAAGATGCCAGCTGTGTTTTTACTGAACCAAAATGTTCCCGGGCCTTCTGACATTTCTTTGGTACTGAAAAAAGAAGCAAGTTTAGTGTTAGTAACTAGATGGCCAAGTGCCAGACTCAGTTTTGTATCTACAAATTCAATGAATATATACCGTTCTATTTCAGGTCAGCTGCAGCGAAAATTTAGATTATGGTATTGAAAGGTAGATGAACTCTTTTTTTCTATTCCAAACACAGCAATACTATGGGAACCTCAGTATTGCCAACTCATGATTTTTTGTGTTGTTCTTAATGTCTATGGTTCAGGAATCTGAAAAACTTAGCTCTTTCTTTTATCTATTATACATAGATAAAAGAGCTACACATTTCAGGTGCCCTCTCCTCCCAGTGCAGGGCTTCATCTGGGCTGTGCTATCTGGCTGCGCTTGCCTACACCCCTCTTCCCCCAGTCAAAGGGCCCTGGGAGCCTAGAGCAACTCGCAGCAGCAGCTGTGTTTGAGCTGCTGCATTACTGCTTAATTATTTAACTGATATAATTAGAGGTTAAATGAATAGTTTTTAAAATGATATTTACACACCTAGCTAATATACATAGATAAAAGAAAGAGCTAAGTTTTTGACATTCCTGAAGCATAGACATTAAGAACACCACCAAAAATTATGAGTTGACAACACTGTAGTGACAAGTGCTACACATTTCAGTGACCCCTTCTATTTCATATATTTGAAAGAAATACATTTCAAACTATGGTTAGGTCCAAGATGGTTAATAAATCCCAGTAACTATTAATCAGAAACAGTGGGGCTGGAGTGTTGTTGTAGCTGTCAGGGTCTGATTTTAGAAAAAAAAAGAGACTTTCAAACTCGGTTATATGCTACCCACTGCCACCTGCAGCATGCAAACGTAAACTACAGCTCTAACACTATCACTGGCTAGAAAGAGATGTTGCCAAATGAAGCAGATCAGTACCCCAGGGCTTCCCTCCCCTACCAGACTATGCCCTGGCGCAAGCTAAAGGATAACCGGAAGCTACCATGTTATCTCAGCACTTATCAGTTAAATGATTAACTGTTTAACCTTTCACATCCCTACTTCAGGAGTGCCCC